GAAATTTTATGCATTTGGGTACAAATAAATGAATGGGTGCCAAATTCAAATTGTCAAAAATGTTTCATTATAAGACTTTAAAGTTGATTTTTATTGACTTATTCAATGAACTGCTAGTCAAATTGTATGAATTGTATGAACGTTAAATGTGCGAAAATGTTCGTTTGCTCAAACAACTGTAAAATTTTTAGGATTCATTGTCGGTCAAGGAGAAATCAGACCAGATCCTGCGAATTTGGATGCGCTTAAGAATTTTGCGAGGCCAGAGCGTATATTAAGAAGCAGTTTAGACCTTATCTTGGTTTTCTGAATTTTTATCGAAGATTTGTACCAAACCTAGCGCAACAGACGGCACTGTTGACAGAAATGTTGAAGAAAACTTGTCCTGATAAGTTAGCGTGGACTAATGAGAGTAATAATTGTTTCAAGGAGTCACTGAGCTTGGTGTCGCTCGACGTGATCCTCAAAATACCGAAACCGGATGTACCTTTTGTTGTGAAAACTGATGCTTGTATGCATGGTTTTTTGATGCTTGTATGCATGGTTTTTTGCCGTTTTAGGACAAATTGAAGAAGATAACTTTGAACCCGTTTGCTTCATTAGTAGGAATTTGTCTAAAGCTGAACGTAATTACTCTGTAATCGAATTAGAATGTTTATCCATTAAGTGGGCTATAGGATATTTTCATGACTATCTGTACGGTAGTAAGTTTGTAATTCAAACCGATCATGCTCCACTTACTTGGCTGAGACAAAATAAAGATAAAAATTCTAGACTTATGCGGTGGGCGCTAGCTCTTCAAGCTTACGATTTCTCAATTCAATATATCAGTGGATGTGATAACTTCTTGGCAGATATGTTTTCCAGAAATCCTGTACATGCCTAGGTCTTGCGTGTTGCATATTTAACTTTCAACCGTGTTACTATGAAAAATGATAGTATATTTTTCTTGGGGGGGAAGATATGTAAGCTAGGTTGTAAGTTTTATCTTATATGGCAACAACTCGTAATCATTCTTACGAGATACAAGACCGTGCCTTAGGTCAGTCGTTGCGAAGCAGTCCTCCCGTGTACAACCCATTTCTAGGCCTAGTTGACTGAATGCGCCACTTTTCTGCTGTGTTCCCAGTGAACTTAATCGGCCTCTATTGGTGAGCTGCTTTACTATATTCAGTTAATTGTTACAATAAATTTGCTATTCTTGTGTCATACTATTTGGATATAAAATGATAACACTTTGTTTATTCAGTTATGTATGTGCCAAAGTAAGTAGTCTGTTTGAATGTAGGTATTTATCTTCAATGTAGGGTTGCGGGTCTGGAGCGGGCCGTCATCGGGACCGAACGATCCAAGATCTTCTCTGGATAGTTCCCAGTGGGCTCTTATGAGCTGGGAAGTGCCACAACCTCGTTACACCCATTGTGACTTGTTTTATTGGGCATGGCATCTAGAGTGTCCAGTATCGTCATTTATATCACTGTGTAATTTATCGTTTGTTCTGTTCTAGTTCAATAAAAATTAGCTTTGTTAGCAGATGTTTGAAAGTATCCGCGTAACGAACCCCAATGAAGTATAGAGGCTTCATTACACACACTTCATTTATTGCGAACATCGTTTTATTGTTATTTTGCTATACATTATTGTTCTCGTGTACTTAAAAATGAAATCATACAAGTTGAGTATTTTTCACGGGGAAAAACCCACCAAGCAAGATTCTACTGGTAATAGATTTTGGAATAAATATCAAACGAGTATTTTATTTGAAGAAATTTGCCTCCAAAATTAAGTAAATTCGGCAGAAAACTTACAACCTTAATACAGGCTACAAAATTCTGCGTCACTGAAAGCTATATGATAATGCTCTTTTATTCTAGAAGCAACGGTGAGAAATGAGGCCTATGTAAACGAAGTATATACATATGATCCCCTATCCTAGATGCTAATTGTATGCTTACTACAATCATATTTTTGCGAACAGTGCACATTTTTCATTTAAAAAACTCTTAGTTACCTGATAAGACGTCAAACATATTCGAGTAACAATAGCGTGCAGAAAGCCTTTCGAGAGTATCCATCAATAACGAATTCAAGTTGAAGAATGAATGCAAATTTCGAAATGTGAACAATGCTAGATGTACCCAACATTAGAATCAGTATCAAACTAACTAAGAAGCAGTCTAGTTTTTTCCACAGTCGAACAATGATTCCTCAAGCATTAATTTGAATTTGAGTGAAAAAATTAGATCAGTACTCACTGCGGTGAATTACAGAGAGCATTTTCTCGTCCGTTCGTCCGTGAAGTCACGGTGAGAAAATGCGCTAAAAAGGGAGGCAGACTTAACCCGAGTCAAACCATCTCTAGTGAGTTACAAAGAGAGGCATTGTGAAGACCTAAGCTAACACTATTATGGATACAATTCAATGGTGTTTATCAACGATTTTTATACAATTAAGCGACGCTGTTATCTTTAGAGTTTATCTTGAAGCTTTGCAGAATTTGTTAATAATATAAGCCATGCTTGCTAGGGTATAATTTATTAATAAGATTCAAAATCAGAAGCAGAAGCTCTGATTGCAAAGGCCTCGGCAATTAAAGAATTATGCAAACAGAGAACTTGATTATTTGTCTTTTGTCTGGATTGTGCCTTTTTCGCAAACAAATTTCATATGTAAGATAATAAATTACCTTAGGATTATCGTTTTGGACAAAAATGCACGATCAAAAATTTTATGACTATGAAAAGTTCTTAAATTAAACAAAATTCGGAAAAAAAACTTACTTTACATCACGAACTTGTCAAATAATCATTTTGATTTGGTCGTTGGGTCTTAATGAACGTTCACTTTCATCACCTTTATAGCTGTTTAAAACTTTATATGCTAACAAATAATTCAAATTGAATGGATGGGACATAAAGAAAAGAGGGTGTTGTCTTCAACTGAGCATAGCACAGCCAAATAAAAAGCTTTGCGTTAGACCATGTTTTGCAATTTCTGTTCATATTTCACTGTATTTTGAATGTTCAGATTGAAGTTAAGAAATTATCTACATTTATTGTCATTTGCCCAATAATTTCCAATTAATATAATTAATATATGAATACCTGGAATCAGAATCTCAAGTAATCTTGAAGTGGTATTGATCAATGAGTGGTTTGTCACTGGTGAGAAACACTGTTGGGAAGTGTGCCTTTCAGCAAATTGACATTTGCTTGTCACTTGCATGTTCAAGATAGACTTAAACCCCATAATATCGAACCTGTGTATGAGATTGATGTATTAGTTAGAATTAAATGAATGCGCAACTGAAAACAACATGAGATCAGCACTTCTTTGGTTTAAGGCAAATTAAAAAAATTAAATTATAAAGCAATGTTGAACAACCTATATTACCTGCGATATTGAAACAGGTATCGATTATCAACAAGTGCAAATATTATCAAAATTGTATTATTCCACGCTGAATTACAGTTTATTAAAGTGAATCGATTGCATAGTCTATGATTTTTTAACACCTGCCGTGCACCTGGTGGCACTTTTCTACTTCGCCACTGATATATACAACACTTAATTGCGTGTCATGCATGAGCTCACTTCATGAACGACAAAAGAACAAGCCCCGATTTCTAATTCTACACCTCAGTATTAACTTATAAAAATGGAATGCGGTTCCGGATCCCAAGCTAGCACCTGACATGTTTTTGCAGCTCCAATGCTGCTGCAAAATGAGTCACCTGTCAAAATCCTACCACGTACTTATGCCGATACAGATCACCCGTTAGCATCGCGCCGGCAGCCCTTGGTTTCTCATGTTTCAACTCATACTTGAATTTCACAACGCCATTATATAGATAACACATACGCACATCTCACACATGCTACGATTTTCCGGTTCCATTATGCACAAGAAAAATAATGCCTAATAATGCAAACGAATTTTATTTAATATTTTGTTAATATTTAAGCAAAAGTTGCAGGTATAAACGAAAAAATTCAATATTAGCATTAATTTTTATTATAGATAAATGTATTTTATCGATTTCGATTCATCTGACGTGTGGCGCATGAGTTCAAGTGATTATTTACCTCAACTTGGGACGAATTATTATTGCATTCATATAATAACTGTATATATCGCTTATAATATTAGTATTTTGAGCGTAAGATTTGCATTTTCCTCAGTAATAAATAAACATTATGACTTCTCGATAATTTAATGCAAAAGCATGAGTTTATTATGATTATTTACCTAATTTTTATATCTCTAATTTGTGTCTCTAACTTCAACAATTAAAATCATTTGATGAAGTGGAAATTGTCTCTTTCTTGCACCTCTTTAATCGAAAGTTCCAGGATATTTAAAAATTAATTATTATTATTATACGCTTAAACTAGCAAGTCTTCTGCTGATCGAGTTCCATCGATTGGTTGAGATATATCACATGTTATTCAGTTGTTTCACAAAATTGTCCTCATCGTTAAGATATTTATATTAATTTTGTCTCGCGTGAAATATCGCCTTTGACTTGAAATAACAAATTTTCATACTGGAATCACACCATGATTTATGAAATCATTGTAATCACATAAATTATTTGTAAATTCAAAATGTTTTTATGGCACAATAACTATTTTGAGCAAGAAGAAGAAAATAATTCTCAGTCAGATACTTTTCACATCAATAATTTATATAGATGAAATTGTAAAAAATTCTGTTTCACTTTCACCACAATTTAATAGTAGCATAATGAAAACCTGTTCCCGATCCAAGCCTAAGTTTACAAATCTCTACCTACTTATTTTTAGCGCAGTGAAATCGCATCGCAATGTTTTTTTTTATTTCCACAATGTAATTTTCGCAATGAGAAACAAAAAACATTTTAACTGCCGAATTTTACCTCGAACAAGGAAAACTTTCATCAGATCAATGAGGAAAATTACATGATGAAATACGAGTATATAAAGTCAGCGTTATAGTCCAGGATTAAAAGAAGCGTGGTCGTCTGAGGAGCACAGTTTCTTCTGGTCGATCACCTACACGGTAAGTCGGAGTCCCTCGCCTTGAGAGCGCCGGTACTCGCCGACGTCTCGAGGCTATTGGAGTTCCAAAGAAAAATAGTTGTGCCTTTTATCTACGAGGAGTAATACCTGTAGCCAATGCTATTGGTACATAAAAACCTGGGACTGGGAAATATCGTCGGTATAAAAATCGGTGAAATGTATAAATAAAGGGTTTGACCGCTTCAAAAAAAACTAATGTCACGTCGGGTAAATAAACCGACTCAATTGAACTATAATCAAAGTGGATAAATTTCAATACGCTGAAATAAATACGTATCGATACTTGAAAACGCAGGAGAATTGAGTATACAGGGATTTATCATGAACAGAAAAAAATAATTATAATATATAAATTAGTTATCACCACAGTCAAACCAATTATAATAGGTAAATAATATTCCGTTCTCACGTCCTATAGGATTAGATGAATATTTCATGAAATCCAATTTTAATTCTTTATGTTACATAGAATTGAAATGAGGTCTGAATTTATTAAGACCTCTATATATTTTTGCTATATATTTTTGCTGTAGTTTTCAATTTAATTTCGTTAGCTGGGTAACATCACTATTAACATGGAATTTTCAGTATGCTCATCCGCTTTTATATTATGTTCTATAAAACGAGAAACATAATTTTACTCTACTTATTCACTATTCAGTTTCATTTGAGTAAAAATTAATTGACGTAGTCGCTCTGTGAGCTGGTGGAATTCAAACGTCGCCAGTACTAATAACTAATAAATATAATCTGGACCATTTTCTATCACTAATTGATCCGGTTATTCTTCATTAGTTATAGTGTTTCGCATTGTCTAACGTTCTGGGACGCGAATGATTTTAATTAAAATTTTTCAATGTTTTCATTTTCTTAGGTTTAATCTACTACCTTGCGTTCTATCCAATCCCTTTAAATTAATTGGAGAGCTGGAATAGGCTATCTTGCAGTTTAACTTAACGGAAGTTCTTCAAAGTTACTTGCAGTTAAACTTGCTTGAAGATATAAAGAAGTTCAATTATATTCTTCGGTTTCAAAAGTTTTCGTACCAGTCTGAAAACTATGTGCACCGTGGATTAATCCTGTCCACGCATATCAATCAGAATATCTAATAAATAAATCAGGAGGTTAGCGCAGTCGATGACTCCACTTCTTCTACGCTCGTTTTCACAGATGCTCGGCGCGTCTTTTTTCCTATCGTTCGTCGCGATGGCCGCGGCGGCGACTACGATGACGAAGGCACCGACAAGAGCAGTCGTGAAGATGACGATAGGGACGGCAGCGGTGCCACAAGGCTTTGAAGGTATTAGTTATACTCAGTACAATTATTTTAATTTTGAGCAAACAGGATTTTTTATTGTATCTTTTATAAAAATATTTGAACTCAGACTTACATAGATCGAAACATTTGCGATACGAGCGAAAACTCGAGCAGGACTGACCAGTAACAGCTAGGAACCTATAACGGAGAGTTTTCATCGTGTTCATCTTCATTTTTCAGAAGCTCGACTGTTCGGACAATCCACTTCCACACAGCTAACTTTATCCACCACCACTACCCCGTTGACATGCGTTACTAGTGAGTGCATCAATTAGCACGTTAAACCAACAAAATTAAAAAGGCAAATATTTTCTGCGAGTGCTTCCACCAAATTACTTTACCTCCGCCAAGACATTCAATTCTAGTGAGCCTCTATATAGACATTAATGGATATGTGCGACTCTTTGTTTAACTTCATAGATCATTGCAAGAGAATTCCATAGTAAATGTCATGTTAAATTTGATCTGAAACTATATTCAATATTCCAATTATTCAATTCCATTAGCTCCTATCCACTGAAACTAGTCCAGCTAAACCGAAGTTGGTATAGTGAGTATTTCCACAAGCTCTCTGCATTTGTAATGAATACTTTGAATCCTCTCGTCACAAAGACATTATTTTAAAGCTTGTTTGTGAATATTCGTTTGAAAAACACCATATGATATATTCTACAATTGTTTCAGAATCGTTCCAGAGAAAATGAATATAGAATTTTTGGTTAAAAAAATGACCATTCATGACAAAAAAAAATATCATTCATTTTGGTTAAATGAATGATAAAAAAAAATAGTAGTGTTGAAAACTTGTAGTTCATATCTCAACACTTAATAATTTTTCTATCGACCTATCAGAACTCACGATGAACGAAGCATATATAATTCAGTCGCTCTGATTACCAAAAATAAATTAACTACTGGTCGTCTGCACTTTTTCGAAATCAGCCTGTTTTATTTACGTGATTTATAGTTATTGTACCATGAAACTTAGACTCGATTGTTGATCTCATAAGCGGATAACGGAAGCAGATTGATCTCTGAAAAAACGTTATTTAAATATAACTTAATATTGTATTTCAGAGAAAATGTGTTGGTAGGATTAAATTTATTTTGATGGGTTTTATATGGCCAATAGCAAGCCCAGTACGGAAACTGACTTATAAACTGAGATAGCGTGCGGTCAGCATAGTATGAAATAAAAAATATAATATAACCTATAGCTTGGGCTGTTCTAGTCCCAACATGAGTGATTATAACAGCTGAACCTTTTTATGTAACGTGTCTTAGAGCATGATTAAATTAGTGCACTATTCTTTAATGCATAACGAACATGCCAAAAGCCATAAATGAAAGAATTTAGCTGGCCATTCAAAGAGAGATAAATAAAAAACGAGAGGGCGTACGGCTACTAATTGTCAAAGACCTAATGTTGCAGACAGTTTACGAAGTCATGATGAACTAGCTATGCAGAACGTAACGACCATCAGCAAATAGTCGACAATCTTACAAATTGTCAGAGAACCACACTTCGCCCAAGTGTTTGAAAGCAGATTTGACTTGAACTTTGCTTTGAGAGGTTCACAAAACGTGGCGGTGCTTCAAAAATCACGACTTCAAAATGCCATCTTGTAATGTCACTGTGGCCGAGAACACTTTTTTCGTAAAGTAAATTTCGTGTAGTACTGATGGTTTTTGCTTCGTAGTCAATCGACCCGGACTATGCAACAAACGCCGAAGACGCCGGGACTCGGAAACTCGGTCACGTGCTCCACCGACTCTGGAGAACGTCTTTGGAGGGGCCGAGCTCTCCAGCTCCTTGCTTGACTCCAGCCGTCCAGATGAAGAAATCTCGGCTAAGTCCTACCGTGGCTTNCTGTCTCTTATACACATCTAGATGTGTATAAGAGACAGGTTTAGTTTCTAGTTATGCGTATTTATGACTCCTTTTCGAGTTATTGACTCTTGCCTTGCCAAAAGTTGATTTCAGTCAACACCAATGAGCTAAAAGTTGATGAGTTTTTATGGTGTTAGCTGAAATCACGATTAGGTACGAATTCTCTGCAAATAATATCTGGATTATGGGCAAAACTGGAACGAAGTTTTTTACTTATCAACTAAATATATTTTTTCTAGTCAAGAATACATATTTTCATGTCAGGTCGAATTTTTTAACGCAAGGATATATTTTTCAAGTCAAGGATATATATTTTTATGTCAATGAAATATTTTTCTTAACGTCAGTGAAAGATTTTTTAAGCCAAGGGTATATTTTTTTCATGTTAAGGATATGATTTTTTGAGTTGTTAATAAATGAATGAATTTCATATTTGTTAATACATTTTTTCTTATTTTTAACTGTAAAGTGTTGTTGCCCAGAGCCCATGGGCCCTTTGCCCCAGGGGCGGGGCAATGGGCCCATTTTGACACTTTTTACAAAATTATGTTTCATTAAAAATTGAATAACTCTATAGGCACTTAATTCACATCATACATTCCTCATAAGTTGCACCTTTAAACAAAACAAAGAACCACCTCGTAACAATTAAAACTTCATCAAAAATTTAGTTTAAAAAAGGGGGGGCGCTGCCCCATGTTGCCCTAATAATTTTCATCTAGACATGTCGATGTAAGGCATTTAATGAGACAGCGAATGAAATTTGATGCAGCACTCTACGGCATTTGATGCACACCTGCATCACATGCATGTATGTATAATGCAGTCTTTAATGGGTCAAACTTATTTCATATTCAGTTACTTGGTCAGAAACTCCGGGTCGATCCGAGACACGGAGCAGTAGCAATATATACGCGATGAAGCTGTTACTCAGTAAAGTTCTTGGGGTGGTAAGTTAATAATATTTAAAATCAATTTAATTGAGGCAAGTTCCCTCAGGCATTACATGAAGAAATGAAAAAATTCGCGTAAGGTAATTATTTATCCTGCCACCCTCGACATGGGAGAATTTTCCCTCGTTAATAATTTTCGAGAAAATTCGTTAATAAATCGCTCAATTTAAAATATTCTGAACTTGATTATGTTCAACATGTCAGCTAGATTAATATTTAAGGGAAAAATTCTCAATAATTTACTATTTAGAATTACTTGTCTGGTTATTCCATTCGGTACAACTTCGTCCATTTAAATGGGAGGCTCCAACCATAAGCTAGCTTTACTGCTACCGCTTCATTAGCAGTCTCTTTAAAATGCAACAGATGTTGACAGGCATATTAAAAAGTTCGTGTCTAACTCTCACGAAGAAACTGCGGTGTTAAAGAAATACATTAATTGGAGCGTAAAGCAGTTGAGGTGCTCCAGTGAATATGAATGAAAACAAGTGACCTAAATAACTGCCTAAAAACACTACACTGGCTGTCTGTTTATTTTACCTCCATTGAATAAATTTTGGTATTTTTTTAGTACCATTTCACTAGAGTTCCCTAAGTTTACATGATTTAATATTTTAATTGGATGCAAAATCCATGAGTTCCTAGATTTAATGGTTTCACAAACATCATGTCACCGCCTGCGGGCAAAATGTGAGACGCGCACGCTGACCCCTGTGCGGGACATTAAAGCCAAGTGGAAGGAGGAGGAGCTGAAGCTTGCGAATGTTAGAGTGGAGGGATATTTAGTATGCAAGTACACGTGATATTTAGTATGCAGGTACAGTACCAATTCCTGTTTTTGCGGCGAAGCTCCAAGGAAGAGAGCGGGGATCCATAAGTGGCAATAATCGGGCACTGAAATTGACGATTTCAAAGAGCGACCTGCGCTCAACGCGACCTGCAGGAGCACGGTGGTCATCTCATTCAGCGGTGGAACGGTGGAAAATAATGGTAGTATTCATGGATTATTAATTACATACTAATTTGTATACCGGTTTCAACAAAGATTAGTAAGATTTCAACAAAGTTTGCACTCTGGACTAATAATGAATATATATGGATATTCCACATCTGCAATACATATTTGCATGGTTCCGCCAATTAAGAAATTCGTCTAATTTTCTTGACAGTCATTTCGCAATTATTATATCCTTAATTTGCCTAAAAACATCGCCATTATAAATACCTAATAAGCTTACAATTACAAATTTTAATGACCTGCAATGTTGTTAATTTCAAAACACTTGCTATGTTTCCTGTGTAATTACGAGAGTCCACAACCACTTTAACAATGGTGTCCATATGGGCGCTGTAATTAGCGTCGCAGAAGCGAGCTTCAGCCTTCAGGATCAACGAAAATGAGCTCGTAATTGCGGAACTGGAGGCTTCATTGAAAGTACCGACATTCTCACGTAGGCAGGGATGTGCCTATATAATTTCTTAAGTGTATAAGCAAGAGTTTTTTTACGCAAAGTCTATGTGAGAGAGAGACTTTTACCACTAAAATCTCCTTCATTTACAAACATTTTAAGAGAAAGAACGCCTGAAGCATCTTGCGAGTAAAAGTTTATTAAACAAATCAGGCTTCAATATCAGAACAAAAGTTTTTAATTCGATCAGACGACATAACCAAATTGTAGAATGTCATAACAAATAATATTCGACTCAAACTGACTGACTAACCTGAAAAAAAAAATAATTTATACCTGGAAATCTTCACAAAGAAATCCGAAATTAGTTCGATTCGAATTTCAATATGAAAAATGTTTGCCTCTTTTGTTAGTAAAACGATTTCAAGTCGAAAGGCAGCATTACTTCGTTTCCAATTGTGATGAAATCAAAAACAATTTTCCATTTTTATTTTAGCTCAGAAAAGTTTGTGCTGGTCGTGTTTGCAAACACTACCGTGTCAAGAAATACACGTAGCAGGCAATTACTTTGCAAAAAAACTAAGCCTCTCGTGCAGACATAATGTCATCCAAGCAGTGGGGTTTTCCTGGGTCGGTCTAACGATCTAGGGGTTGGCGATCAATGATCTTTCTTTAAAAGAAAAATGTACTCGGGTATATCAATATTTTCTTATTTCATCTCATGACGGATATGCATTTTGTGGCGTTTCAGTGACAGCAAAGCGTCAAGTCAGATTAATCGAAAGATAAATCTACGAGTCTGAGTGATTACAATCAATTTTTAATTTTTCCGCTATTAATGTCAACTTAATTGAAAGTGACTCTGGTTTAATCCGTAAGTGCATCTTAATTCGTAAGTTTATGTTAACTGCATCGAGTTATTTCAGTTATAGATACAGTTAGATTGGAGAATTTTTTCTTGGTACTTTTCATTTATTGGAATTTACTTGCCCTGTCTTTGCACCTTCAAAGCTTGAAACGACTGACTGCCGCATAGGAAATCTTCAATATTTCTTCAGGTATTTGTAATTGAATATGTAATACAGTTTGCTCTTATTTTGACTTGAGGCTGCATGATAACCTTCATTTAAAATTTTTAACCTGGAGATCAATTAAAAGAATTCCTTCAATTTTCATGGCTATCTCACGTCCACGTTTCATCTAATATTAGATGCATATGCAATCTCAAAAGACCAAAGACATAATGACTTTATTTTATAAGAACAGTTTCAACAGAATTTAATTCAATAATTTCAGTTGACTGTCATTTCTGCAAACCATACTTGAACGTGTATTATTTTTAATTTTATTGAAAAATATCATTGAAAAAAAATAGTAGATGGACATAATATTTAGATAAGTAAATTTGGATGGGTTCGAATCAAAGTGGGAATAAACATTTAATTAATGGGCTCACAATTCGAAACTAAGACAATAAAAATATTACAATTCTGGAAAAAATACAGCAATTATTATTGGGCCACTTGAATATTTCTTATATTCAGAGCTTACCTATGCATTGGATTAGGCCATTATGGACAGAAGAGTCAAATCAAAACCGTAAGTCAATTGTATTAATAAATTCTAGGCTGACTATCAACACAGTAAACTAAATACAAACTAATTTGGCAGAGACTGAAATATAAAGTATCCGTAAAAATTTGAAAGCAAGGAATATTTGTATACAACTGATCAAACTTTGATTCTCCAAGAACAATGAGTAGGCGTAATTATATGTCATTCTGGCCGTCAAATTTTAGCCGTGAATAATTTTTTTCTTACGCTGTAACTCGTTTGTTTTACCTTTTAGTTTAAAATTTTCAACTAAAGTTAACATGGCTCAATCACTCAATTCTTTATTGTATGGCAAGACTTAAGTTAATGAAAAATATCCCAATAAATGTCAATAACAAAGAAGACCATGAAAACGAATAAAGATAAGACTTCACGGAGTTTGAAAAGGAAGCCTTCGCGTCCTTTGTAGTGATTGAAAAGGGCACCACTTGGACATCTTGAGAAAGTTTGGACGTTAGGGAGGCTGAGGCTCTCGAGTATTGCGCCCGTCTCGGCCATTGCGGCTTCCAGAAACTCGGCCAGTCTTGACGATAAAAAATATACAGATTTACACTTCCATCCAAGCACACACATACCTACGCGGTAAGGCACTCTGTAAATATTAAGTTAGTTACTTTGTTTGCTTTGTGTTACAGAAATTTTATTTTAAGTCAGTGCTTTCTATGACTTCGTTCAGTCAGTTATCATTCCTCATCGCGATTTCGCTTTAATGATGAAACATCGAATGACATTTCAAATGAGGCAAGTGGTTCATATTTTATTTCATGAAAAGACTTGCGGCGGATCATAATAAAAGTGGATCATGATATATAAATAATACTTTGCAACCGTTTATTTTACTTCCGCCACGATTGACTCATAATTTCTTTATATTTGACATGGTGACTTCCAATGCTCAGTATTCGCGCTTTCTTAGCATATTTTTTAGGCATACATACACTTAATTGCTAGAAAAACAACCTGATTAAAAATTGTTAGGGTATTTAATTTGGTGGATTGAATCGAGCGCTTAACTTTTATTCTA